AGACAACTTGTATAATCATCTAGCGGAACATGCATATATTCATTAAGGTGAAACTTAAATATATTCATTACAGGGCAACAGGCCTTTTTGTTATGGGAAACTTGAATATTCTTTCATAGTCAACATGCATTACATTAACAGCAAAGTAATTTATATTATAATATTTCCATCAGTTTAAGTATCATTCAGTGATTTTCAGTCGTACGTCCCTACATGTCTACCATTTGAGGGTCATTCAGTGTTATGTCTCCACTGTCAACCATTTTGAGGATCATTCAGTCTTATGTCCTTTCCTGTCAACCATTTTGAGGATCATTCAGCCTTTGTCCCTCGATCTTGTCAACCATTTTGAGGATCATTCAGTCTTATGTCCTTTCCTGTCAACCATTTTTAGGGTCATTCAGTCTTATGTCCCTTCCTGTCAACCATTTTAAGGGTCATTCAGTCTTTTGTCCCTTCCTGTCAACCATTTTGAGGATCATTCAGTGTCATGTCCCTTCCTGTCAACAATTTTGATGATCATTCAGTCTTATGTCCAATCTAGTCAACTGTTTTGAGGATCATTTAGTCTTATGTCCCCTCCTGTCAACCATTTTGATAATGAGTTTGTCTAAGGTCCCTTCCTGTCAACCATTTAAGAATCATTCAGTCTTATGTCCCCTCTTGTCAACCATTTTAAGGGTCATTCAGTCTTTTGTCCCCCCTCTCAACCATTTTAAGGGTCATTCAGTCTTTTGTCCCCCCTGTCAACCATTTAAGGATCATTCAGTCTTATGTCCCATCTTGTCAACCGTTTTGAGTATCATTCAGTCTTATGTCCCCTCTTGTCAACCATTTTGATAATGAGTTTCAGTCTAAGGTTCATTCCTGTCAACCATTTTGAAGATCATTCAGTGTTATGTCCCATCCTGTCAACCATTTTGAGGATCATTCAGTCTTATGTCCCTTCTTGTCAAACATTTTGAGGGTCATTCAGTCTTACGTCCCTCGTGACACCCATTTTGAGGTTCATTCAGTCTTATGTCCCCTCCTGTCAACCATTTTGATGATGAGTTTGTCTTATGTCCCTTGATCCTGTCAACCTTTTTGAGGATCATACAGTCTAATATCCCTTCCTGTCAACCATTTTGAGGATCATTCAGTCTTATGTCCCTTGTGTCAACCATTTTGAGGATCATTCAGTCTTATGTCCCTTCCTTTCAACCATTTTGATGATCAGTTTGTCTTATGTCCCTTGATCCTGTCAACCTTTTTGAGGATCATACAGTGTTATGTCCTTTCCTTTCAACCATTTTGATGATCAGTTTGTCTTATGTCCCTTGATCCTGTCAACCATTTTGAGGATCATTCAGTCTTATGTCTCTTCCTTTCAACCATTTTGATGATCAGTTTGTCTTATGTCCCTTGATCCTGTCAACCATTTTGAGGATCATTCAGTCTTATGTCCCTTGTGTCAACCATTTTGAGGATCATTCAGTCTTATGTCCCTTCCTTTCAACCATTTTGATGATCAGTTTGTCTTATGTCCCTTGATCCTGTCAACCTTTTTGAGGATCATACAGTCTAATATCCCTTCCTGTCAACCATTTTGAGGATCATTCAGTCTTATGTCCCTTGTGTCAACCATTTTGAGGATCATTCAGTCTTATGTCCCTTCCTGTCAACCATTTTGATGATCAGTTTGTCTTATGTCCCTTGATCCTGTCAACCTTTTTGAGGATCATAGTTACAGTCTAATATCCCTTCCTGTCAACCATTTTGAGGATCATTCAGTCTAATATCCCGTCCTGTCAACAATATTGAGGGTCATTCAGTCTTATGTCCCTTCCTGTCAACCATTTTTAGGGTCATTCCTTCTTATGTCCCCTCGTGTCAACCATTTTGAGTGTCGTTCAGTCTAATGTCCCTCGTGACAACCATTTTTAGGGTCATTCAGTCTTATGTCCCCTTGTGTCGTCGTTCAGTCTATTATGTCCCTCATGACAACCATTTTGAGTGTCGTTCAGTCTAATGTCCCTCATGACAACCATTTTTAGGCTCGTTCAGTCTTATGTCCCCTCGTGTCGTCGTTCAGTCTATAATATGTCCCTCATGACAACCATTTTGAGGGTCGTTCAGTCTCTAAAAATGGCGTCCAGTGGAGATAGTGCTCAGGTAATTGGAATTAAAGCTTTTATTGACCCAGTTTGTAATTAGCAATCATTGTATTTGTAATAAATGACAGAAACTTGTAGACGGTAGATGAACCAGCGGGCAATATACTTTATTTTCACATTTTTATTTTAGTCTCTTGCTCTTGGATTAACAGTAAGCTTTTAACTGTAAGAATAATAGATTGTGCTGATTAAACATGCTGGAAATTAAGTTTTAGGGTTGAATGACCTTCACACTTGTATGTTCTGTGATAGATCTCAAACCTTATAACGATTATGATTATATGGTAATATAATTATAGTAGTACAATGTGACTTTTGGTACTAAATAACATAACAAATGAATTTTGACGAATGTTATAATCATGAAAGGTTTCTAAAAACAAAAGTGTGCAAATAATGTAGATGAATTCTGGTAATAACGGAATTTAATGTACATGTACATGTACATGTACCAGTATTGAAATAATAAAAGCTGTAGCAAATAAAGGGTTATTTTAACACACAATATTTCCTGGCTGGACACCATTTCCAGTGTCTATTTACCTGTAGTTCCAGTGTAATGCTTAATATTAAAATTAATGTGCCTAGTCTAGACACCATTATTCAGACTATACACAAGTAATGATGTCCAAGGACTAGTATAGCCTGAATAATGGTGTCTAGACTAGGCACATTAGTTTTGGACATCATTACTTGTGTCATCCAGTATATCTCAGGTATTCCTTCGTCATTAAACCTGGACAGTCGCATAAGTTAAAACAACAACAACAACAAAAAAGCAGCTCCCTTTAGACTTGAATGAAGCAAGGCTTAGCTATCATAGAAATTTATGGAAATATAAGCTCTGACATCATAGTTGACATATGAGCCGCGACACGACAAAACCAACATAGTGGGTTTGCGACCGGCATGGATCCAGACCAGCCTGCGCATCCGCACAGTCTGATCAGGATCCATACTGTCCTCTATCAGTTGCTCTACTTGTTATAGAGTTGGTAAGCGAACAGCATGGATCCATGCTGGTCGCAAACCCATATGTTGGTTTTGTCGTGACGCGGTTCAATTATTTTGATGACCATATAATTTTTACTGTGGCATTTTTATCATGCTCCCAGTGTTGAAGTGAATGGAATAAATATGGAATAAAATGTCACTGTGTTGGAGATACTGTTTAGATATTGGATCATTCCTGGAACAGTGTGAAGGAGATCTATATAAGGATGACTCATCCAGCTTTAATTTCCAATAAAAGGTTTTACTAGAGATTGAAATATAAATTTGACTACTGACAGCTCGTTATAACACAGCACAAATTTCCACATTTTTTGATGCAGTGTTGTTTTTTGTTTTTTAATAGTGTTCATGTGAAAATAACTGGCCCATTTATAAGTGAACAGATAGTTTGGTAATAGATAATTGGGCAAAGTTGCAAGCAGGCTAACAATCTTTTCCAAGGTTTAGCTTGTTTAATATTTAGTTAATGGTTATTAACTTTAATACTAAAATAGGCCACATTTAACCTATTAACAACTATATTTACTTATTTTGACAAATTCAAAGCCTGAGACGGCTCTAAGATTGAAAGCATGCTAAACGGTTAAAAATTTATTGTCTACATTTTAACACATTGTTAAAATCTATTATTACAACTCACTTGTATATAAACTTATTATTAATTGATACAGTTCTATTGTTCATATTTTCTTGTAAGTGGTCATGGAATCAATGGAATTATTAAAGTTAAACACAATCCAAATAACCATTGCATTGATCTGTAACTCTGCCACTTGATCACAGAATAGTTCGCTTTTGTTTCAATTGTTTGTTCCATTTTTACCAGCCTCTTTGTGTGCTTTTATACATTTTTCATTACAATACATTTGTGAACGATTTACTTGGGTAATATAGTGTTTAATTTGGAATTTAATTGGTTTTTGGAATTTTAAAATTTGATAGGCAAAGATTGGGTGCAGTTAAACTTATAAATATGTATGGCCTTTTATTAGTGAACAGGTAAAAAGTTATGCTCAGTTCTTGTGTAAATTTAATGTTTTAATTTATTTGATTGTTCTCCAATTTGCTTAAAGGTTTATATTCTATAATTATTCTGGTGAAGTTTGTTCACCTTAGTGCAATAACTGGTTTAACTTCTATTGATTTTAGAAGGACTTAACTCGTAACCCCACTAAGGTGACAAAATGCAATTTAATAATTTCGTTTGTTGAATGGAACTTTTTTTTTATCTTAGTGCATTATGTAAGGAATGATACATCTAATTTTGATGCAATTTAGGTAAACTTTAAACAAATGTGCACCCCATTATGGAGTATATTCATTGTATCACAGTTCAAATTCTATTTTTTCCAGTGAATCACAAATATTTCTGCAATAGAAAATTTTATAGTCCTCACAAAGAAGGTGGTGGTTTATAGATTTTCACTTTTCTGTCCACCCACAGTCCAAATTTCTGGTTTATCATTTTCATTAAGTGTTACATGCTTCAATATGATATCTAGATGAAGATGAATTTGATAATGTACAGTTTAGGATAAGATGCAAAATAAAGGTCAAGGTCACAAGAGGTCAAACGTCAAATAAAATATTTATATTTGTTTCTTGGCACTGTATCCTATCTCAGATTAGGATCAGATGTGTTGTTTTGTATTTTTTAGCATTATATTAATGATATATAATTTTATTTTCTAGGATGCGATTACAGTGGTTTCCATGGTAAATGTAAGACATGTCCTCTTATGATGATCTACTCAGACAGGTAGAATCACTGCGTCAGGTCAACTCAAGTCCTACAACGTGAGATCCAGGACAACAATGCACAGTTGTCAAATGGCTGCAGAAAACTCCGCCCATCTAGCTCAATACACAACTGGCCCCGCCCCTCAGGTTGTGAGATCTCAGACGAATGCTGCCTCGGCTAGTAGACCGACAAACATCCACTCCCCTCAAGTTTCCAGAGCTCAGCAAGGTTTACCCCAGTCAGACAGGCAGGTAGGGAGTCCACCTTTGCCACGCCCACAACAGAACTCCGCCCACAGTGCTGCTCGGCAGTCAGATAACCACACCTTCCCTGCAAGAGTCCAGGATAATGCTGTCAATCATTTGTCACGACTTCAAGATACAACCCCTTCAAAATCTAGGTAAATCTTCCAACATGTTGAAAGTATCCTTGTAGTAATTGTGTCTTCTTTCTTCTTACAGTCCATGTCACAACACTACTTCCATTGTATTGATAAAGCATCCTGTTAAACATGCATGCTAGCAATGACTTTCCTCTGGCAACAAGTAACTGGTTTGTCAAATACTGGATCAAACATTCGAGTATCTGTTAACAAAATTTATACTACAGTACTGACTACTCAGTAGAGAGATGTATCTTTTCTTACTTTTGTTGTAAATGATAAAACTAAGTGAAATAGAAATTTTGTATTTCCAAGATAGATGAAAAATGTTTATATAATTCATTTAATTTAAAAGTCCTTAGAAATTTTCTGAGTAACTGTTTGTGTACTCAATTGGAAGAATGACCAAATACTTGAGTACTGAAAATGGTATTGTAAATGTTTAAAATGTTAGTAAAAAAACAAACAAAAAATTTCTGCAGGTTGCAAAGATTTGCAAAAAAAAATTGTAAATACATGTAATGATATAAAGACAAATTGATATTAAATTTTTAATGAAAAAAGGTAAAAAGTAAAAATGGCAAGACTCGGTATCATTATTATTTTGATTTTATTTGACAGTTCTGGTAGACAGGTAAATGATACACAGAGTATGGAGTCAAGCCAGGGTGAAGATTTTAGTTTCAATGAAGACCTCATGGAAGGGGAGCACATGGCTACACTAGGTAAGTGCTGATCTTTACTTCTAATGTTGGTGTTTCTGCTCAGGTGCCTGAAAAAATGCACAAAAGGTCACCTGAGATCTTCCTCCTCCAGTAGAGCTGGAAGGTCACCATATGACCTTCACAGTCTTGATTGAACTAAAACCTTGAACCCATGCAGGTAGTGATCAGTAGATTACTAGTCTGAAGCGTTTGACCACTCCGCCATGCCACCACTTTGTTTTTATCTTTGTCCAAAATATATCGGGAAGAATATTATATGTTTGTATAAGACTACGTGAGATTTTCATTCATAATTGCAACACAGAGCCAATCAAAAAAACAAATAAACAAACATGATTTTCTCATGCAACGGGCCATTGTAAACGAATATCCCATTGAAAGTGCTGATATAGCAGATTTTTTTAAAGTGTGTTTTCATGGCATTTATTGAATTTCTTCCTTTAGAAAAAAAGAATCAATTCATGGTCTTATATTTCATGCAGAATCAATGCCCATTTTGTCGGTTTAGCTGTTTCATGGAGTTATTTTTCCCACCAAAAAAAAAAAAAGAGCCACGCAGCAATCAATTTATCTTAGCAAATATAACAGAGGAAAGCCTGATCTAGTCAATAGATTAGGTATAAAGTTGTACAATTTTGTCTGCAGTTTTTATGTCCACTGGGCATGTGTGATAGATACGAGGGGTTATCCAAAAATTCGTGGACTTTTTAAATATCTCTTGAACGTCAACGTGTATTGTAATGAAAATTTATCAGCATACATTGTAGAATATTATCAACACATTTTGAAAGGAACAGTTAATTGTATCAATAAATAATGATTTTATATTGCTTTTAAATAAGCACATACACGTCACCCGGCGCACGGTAGAAAAGCGCTGTAAGTCATCGTATACTTTCTTGCTAAAAAAACTAAAAAATAACGTTAGAAAACCCGCTGAACATCGCATGTTTCTTCTATTGATTGTCATTTAAGTAATTCTTTAAAATTAATGGACGTCATTTACCTTTATTTTTGTTTGATATCGCTAGAAACGCCAGACGCCTTTATTGTTTTACAACAGGAGAAAATGACGGACACGCGATAATTAGAAAATCGCATGATCATAAACAATCATAAAATTTTATTGCAATTTTGAAATGACACCTACAGAAACATTTGATAAAAAAATCAGCAGACGAACAGAGAAAAGAATATTTTCACGATCATTAGTGTTAAAGTGGCATAAAAAATTAGTAATGGACATTACTTTTGAGAAGCAGTAACAGTCATTGACTGCGTAACGTTGAAGCACAAATTGTACGTTAATATTATGACGTTGACGTCAATAATTTTTTGGAGTGCGCCGCTGTCGCCGACATGTGTTTATGTAAAATTAAATATTGTTGTAATGTAAGAAGCTTTTCACATGAATTTTTCTGTGTTTATTTGTTATTAATTCTTCTAAGCAGTGTAAGAATTTCAAATTAATATCTCAAATTAATTTTACGCAACAAAGAAAGTCCACGAATTTTTGGATAACCCCTCGTATATCTAGATTATAGACATTGTCTTACAATTTATTGTTCGTTTTGTTTTACAAAAAATTGGTGGTTTTTTTTTTTCCAAATAATTTCTATGATGATCAGTAAAATGTTTTAAAAATTTGAATTAGAAATTTTTGATTGAAAAAGCCCCCAAAACTTACCGTCCCTTGTCGTACTTGAAACCTTCCCAAATATAAAGGGAAAAAATACCAAAATAATTGCAGAAAAAATTTGATAGATGGCTACAAAAAAAGCGGATCTTATATTTCTATAATTTTATTGAAAAAATCTTTAAATTTAAAAATAAAGCAGGGGCAGTAAAAATTAAATTGCCAAATTGCCCAGGTTGTCCCCCCCCGCCCGTAAGACAAAAGGAAAATTTTCAAGTTTTAAAAATTTAAATTTAAAATTAAAAATTAAGAAAACTTCAAAGGGGAAAAAACAAGAAAATCAAATCAATTTTTCCATCCTGTTAATAAATTGGTTAAGCTAGTTGAAGAGGGCATTGAAGGTCAAAAAAAGTTTTTAAGGGCACTACAAGATAAAATGTGATTGGGTTTTAGTCTGAGAGAGAGATTTGTTATTTTTTTCTTCATCCTCCACTACAAAATGATTAAAATTCAGCGACCATGTCCAAAAAATCTTAACGGAAAATGAAATTTGTTGATGGGGATAATGTTTTATGAAGGGGTTTTCTTGGGGGATATATTACTCTTATATTCCAAAAACATTTCTTTTCCTTTATAGTGAATTAAAAAAATTTTTACGGCAGAAATTTAGGCTAAAAAAAGTTTAAAAAAATCCTAATATGAAACCCTTGATGGGCATTGTTTACTAGAACAACTTTAAAAAAAAAAAACTGGGGAAATGCATAATGAAATGAAAACCCCAAAGAAGAAAATATCGTTATATTAAATTATAGCACATCATTTCATGTAAAAAATAGAAAAATTTTCCTAAAAAGGGGGGACAGTCCCTCTTTTTTTTGGGCACATAAAATTTGTTTAATTTTCGCAAAAAAACATCTACAGAATAAAATGGGGAAACAGACATTTTCCCCCCTTCCTTTTTAAGAGAGGGGGACAAAAAAATAAATTTTCAAAAAAGAAAAAAAAACTCATGAATTTTTTCCAGATTTTTGGGAAAAAAGGCCCCTACCCTGGGGAATTTTTAATTTCGCAATGTTTTTTAAAAATTGGGGGAAAAAAGCTGATGAATTTGCATTTTTGAAAAAGAAGAAAAATGTCTAATGGTTAATAATGGGTTTTTCTTAAAACATTAACAGAGAAAAAA